GTTCATATATTTCATGTGAGTTCTTTTACTTTTATAGTACTTTTCCTTCTGCCCACCATGTCCTTTATGCTCTGCATGACTTGCATAATTTATCTAATGAGTTTTACCAAATCTTTATTTATTTTGCTTGTTGATTTATTTGTTTTAACTGCGTCACGAATTACTGATTCCCTATGGGAGGGGGGTCGTAATCGGCCAAACATTTTTTATGACAGGGTTTCTCTCATTAGAGACTGTAGCAAATTTCAACGGACTAGGTCTCCCTTCCCCATTGGCACCAGGGCACAGCATTCGATGGGGATTTTGGTCGAGCTTTTACGACCCCCCCTTCTGGCGGCCAAATACGACCCCCCCCCATAGGGAATCAACGATATGCTGGCCCCGTATCCGCGAGCTGGATCCATCTTTATCATTCCATTTTGTCCTCGCTATTGGCAATGGGGTTTAATCCTAGACCTTGCTAACATGGCAAGGTTGGAGTGGGTCACCTGCCCCACTAGGGTAATCTGAATGCAAAAGAGAGGGAAGGCAAGTACTGCCTACTGTGAGATCAGGTGTTGTTCGAACCGCTTTTATAAGTGTAGGCACCACAGTGCCACAGAAGTGGAAAATAGACAAGGGAAAATTGGCTATTTTAAAAATCGCGAAAAACTGTAAGACTAAAGCAACTCAAAACAAAATAATATTTATTACAAGAATAAAGTATAGTAGGATAAAATCAGCTTAAGAAAGCCAACAACTGTTTTCAGCGTTATATTTCACTATGAGCTGCATGTCAACAGTTGGCTTCGGAAACATCGCCAGTACAACAGATAACGAAAAGGTTCGTTTTTATGAACTTTTGTAAATGTAGAGTTGATATTGTTGCGGGGAGGGGGGCAGGAGGCGTGGAATGCCCTTACCCGCGGCCGCGCTTTCTACCAATAGTGACACGTTCGAATAGCAACAAGTAGTAGAAAACGCCGCGGGTGGTCCATCTCACGTCTTCCGACTCCACAACGCCGGATTGTGAGTATATCGACTGTGAGTACAGGTCGAGGTAGCGGCTGAAAGGCGCCACACTACTCCTTGGGACTCGCATCTCGGTCAGACCGACCGAACCCTTTCACGAAGGTTTATTTCGGAAGTGAAAAATCTGAGAAAAAAAAGTTCAGGTGTTTGGAGTGTGCATGATGATTATATCAGCTTTGTTGTACGCTGCCATCTTCGGTCATATGACGACGATCATTCAACAAATGACATCGGCAACCGTGAGGTGAGGGATCGCTTATGCATTTGCTTCTTTCTCCACTATCGCCTATACCGTTTTTAGGTACCACGACATGATAAGCAACGTTCGAGAGTTCATCAAACTTCAAGAAGTTCCCAAGGAACTTGCCGAGCGTGTCATGGACTACGTGGTCTCGACGTGGGCGATGACGAAAGGCATCGACACACAGAAGGTACACACAACAATCGCCTGGGCTCACTTCAGAGAAATATTTAGTGCTCAGTCCCGGTCATTGCCTTATCAGGGAAGTCTGCCAACTTACTGTGGAACTTTGAATGGAGACCTGGGTAGATCGATAGAGTCTATAAGGTTATTTAGAAATGTAGACAGCAAAAAAAGCAACCCTGCATTTTACAAGCAACTTATGAGCAGGTAATATAATGGTGCAGTAGGGTGGAGGCTTGGTGGTGAGCTGTGAAGCATAAGCGAGGAATCGCATACGTCGAATCGAGCCATCGAACGTCGAACCTTACCACTGAACCACCACGACTCGATTTGACGTATACCCAGGTCTCCATTCAAAGTTCCATGGTAAGTTTGCGGAATTTCAGTGGTTAGTTTCGGTGAGTTTCGGAGATTACTGTTGGCAATGGATGACTCCTGGAAATACCTTGCTAGAACGATAGTTCACGGCGGTTAATGTGGGTGTGGTCATACACTGTCGTGGCAAAACTTAGGAGCGAGATGGATTAAAGTAACATAAAAAACTATGGACTGGGTGGAAGTAAATGAAAGTGTGGGAGCATGTTGCCACTCGCCTAAGGGATATGCACAGGAAGCTAGACTTTTCTCGGTGGAAGAAGAGCTTGAATAAAGTGCCAAATATGGCCGACCGCGCAAATCGAGGCAGTCTATGGGTATGAAAAAAATTTTCTCAATCAACGAGTAGCTGCAAAGAACTGTGGTAGTATCCTTCGATACATCATGTCCCGAAGAGAGCATCTGGATGACTTCACTCGAGGAAGGATCATAGGGAAACTCGAAGAAGGTCGAACATGACGAGTGTAGCCCAGGAGTTCGGTATCGCTCACAGCGTTGTTTCACGTGCATGGAGAGCGTTCCGAACCTTTGGTACTGCTGCCCGAAGACGAGGAGGTGGCCGACCAAGGACAACTACACCAAGGGACGACCGCTACAGCAGGCAAGGAGATCCTCGTCAGTCGGCTTCGGCTATTGCAACGACGTTTAACAGGACTCTAGGGCAAGCCATCTCACGCACTACAGTGGCAAGACGACTGCATGGTGGTCTCTTCGCCGACGACCGTTACGTTGTGTTCCTTTGACCCCCGCGCATCGGCGAGACCGTTTACGGTGGTGCCAGGAGCATGGCGAATGGACCGATGAGGAATGGAGCCGTGTGCTCTTTTCGGATGAGAGCAGGTTCAGTCTGAGCAGTGATTCTGGACGCACCCTCATATGGCGAGAGGTGGGAACACGCAACTCCCCCGGAAACATTGTCGAACGTGATCGTACTGGTGGTCGAGGTGTTATGGTATGGGGAGGCATCATGTTGCATGGCCGTACTGACCTCCAGATTTTTGAGCATGGAACCCTCACCAGTCAGCGTTACTGCGACGAGGTTCTCCTACATCATGTCCGTCTTTTCAGAGCTGCAATCGGCCCTGACTTCATTTTCAT